AACATTGATTGACACAGTATTGGTGGCTTGTGTCCCTTAACCAATATATCTAGGAGAATATCATGTATATAAAATAGACTGTGTTATTGGAAAGAAAATATCCATATTGAGTGCTAATATTAGAATTGATGTAAAAAAAATTAATTTAATTTTATATTTTAAAATTTGATAAAAATATATTATGAGTATAAGAAAATAAAATTATTTAATATATGCACAAAATAATAATAAAAAACATTTTTAACGAGAACAAAATATTAATCTTTAAATAATGTGTGATTTTATCACCATCAAATCTATCAAAATATGTTTTACAAATAATACTATTTTTATGAAATTCAATTAGTATATTCATTTTAATGTCTTTTTTATTTTAAATTTAAAGAAAAATTAAATTACTTTTTTTTCTATAAATTTTTTTAAATAAATAATATTTTTTTAAATTAATTTACTATATATATATATATATATATTTTTTTTTTTTTTTAAGGATTGATTATGTTTTTAGTCTAAATAAAATTTGATGTTGGTCGATAAAATATAATTTGTCTCTTTGTTGTTCTTGGCCTTCAGGAAATGAATAGTGTGATTTGATCCTTCTAATCTCATCTACAAGGGGGCGATTTAATTTTAGGGGTTTGGACCCTCTCATGACATATATGTCTGATGGGATCTCAACTCATAATTAAAAATAAGAGAGATTTAAATAATAATAATAATAAAAAATAAGGTTTTGACAATGGAGATTTTTGCGAGAGTTTAAGTGTTAATCCTACACGAGAGAATCCATTCGTATTTTTTAGGTACTAAATTTTGCAGGAATAAAACCATATTAATCCTTTTTTATTTGAGAATGCTAATAATTATAATTTTTTCGGTAATTTTGGATGGACAAATAGCGAGTCTTCTGGGGTTGAATCTGATATACAGGGGTTGAGTAATCTATAACTATGAATATTGGGGACTGATTTATATAAAAATAATTAAAATACTGGGTGGGGGAGGCATTAATGAATTTTTTTAATATGAAAATGTTAGTTATTATTTAGTAAATGGAAATGAAAGAAAAAGAAAAGTCAAGAATCCTATGGTTTGATCCTAGGTAAAGTGATCAGGATTTGCATTTGTGCAAAGTTTTAAATGTTGGGAGGGGATGTGAAAGCTTCGGGCTTAACGATCTTGCGTGGAGTGTTTCGGACTTTATGGAGAAATGAATCATGTGGGTCCACCTTGTCTTATTTAGGTTGTGACTTTTACCTAAAGTATCAGTACAATGACAGTTGTAATAATATTAGGTGTAACGAAACTTAAAAATGATTTCAGACTTTTCACTTCTAAGCAAATATTACTCTCACGGTAATTTTGAATGTGACAGATGAAATGAAAATGAACAATGGCTTCAGAGTTTGATTACTATGGATTTCGATGAGAATGATGAGATGTTGATTAGCTACACTTAAATTGATGAGCTGATATGAAAATAATTTTTTTTTTACATTGTTTAGGTTATTTATTTATATGTGAATGAGAAATTATGTATTTGTATATTATTCAATATAATTGCACTGCTATATTTTAGGGTATAAACATTACCATTGCCCTTTAAGAATGACTTTGTTGTAAATCATTATAGTTGGTGCATATGGCTAAGAGCCAAAAAAATTATGGAAGTTGATATGCATGATAATTTTCTTTTTCTTTTTCTTTTTGAATAAAGTTATAAAATGTATTGATTTTATGGTTAAGGTACGAGAAGTATCATGTTTGTTATGGAGGTCAAGAGGAAGAGAGGAAAGCTAACTACAGTGATATGGTGAGATATTATTTAGTAGCTTATCTATTTATTTATTTTTTTTTAGAAAAACTTAAACTTGTATAGTGCTAAACTAATCTTCTTGTCAAATGCATTCTATATGCCTTTCCTCATTCTTTATGAATTTTATGTTTAGTTTTCCAAATGGGAAGCAATTTTTTTTTCCAGGAAATACTAAAATTATTCTAATCTTAGCAGATTGTAAAACATACTTTGTTTCTTCCGAACCTTGAAATCTTTACAATTTTTGTGGAGGTATCTAATTGATATGGAAGCAATATCCAAACCACTTTTTAAATACTTAGGTAGTTAGATTGGTTAACACTGCGTTTTTATCTCAATTATTGTCAATTAGATTATCTGGAAAAAGAAAATGATAAGATCTTCTTGTGTTTTCAGGTTAACAAATACTATGATCTTGTTACCAGCTTTTATGAGTTTGGCTGGGGGGAGTCTTTCCATTTTGCACCCAGGTGTTCATTTACTTCATTTTGCACCAACAAATAGAAAAATTTTCTGTTAATTTGATTATGCTGATAATTTCTTGTTTCCAGATGGAAGGGGGAATCTCTTCGGGAGAGCATCAAGCGACATGAGCACTTCCTTGCTTTACAACTTGGACTGAAGCCAGGGCAGAAGGTTTCCATGTTCAATAAAACAAAGTAGCAAGCTGATATCTGATTTACAGTATTTTATTTGTTAAAATGTAATGAGCCTTTATAATTTGTTTTAGGTTTTGGATGTTGGATGTGGAATTGGGGGACCATTAAGAGAAATTTCTCGATTCAGGTAAACAAGATTGACTTCATTTGGGCTTCCTCTTTCTTTTCCTTTTTGTGTTTTACCTTTACTGGCTAACAAAAATTATATTTGCACAGCTCAACCTCAGTTACAGGGTTGAATAACAATGAGTACCAGATAACAAGAGGAAAGGTATGCATTATGAAATTAAGTGCACTAAAACAACAATTGAGGTGCAAATTGTTTTGCATTGACAGAGCTATTTTGACCTTTGTCAGCATCAGTATATATTTTCATAGTCAACGTGTCTTCCCTTTTTAACAATAGCCCCTTTCGTGGACTTGACTTCAAGTACCGAAAAATTTTGTTAACTGCTTGCATGTGTCTCTCTCTTGGGTCATGCATAAACTGATTTACTACACTAACTACATAAGTAATGTCTAGTCTTGTGTGTGATAGATAAATTAATTTTCCTACCAATCTATGATATTGGGCCTTCTCTATAGGAGTACTTTCTTCACTTTCAATTCTATGATTTTGTTCTATAGAAATTGTTGAGGTTCTACATCCCAGCTTTCTTGTTTCTTTGAGGAGATCAAGTACATATTTCCTTTGGGAGATGAAAATTCTGTTCTTGGAGTAAGCAACCGTTATTCCAAGAAAGTACTTGAGTTTTCCTAAGTCTTTCATTTCAAACTGGGCCACCAATTTTTCTTTCCATGCCAAATTTTCTGTGATGCAATAATCATATCATCCACATAGACAAGCAGTAGAGTGAGTTTACCTATAGAAGAATGCTTTATGAATAGAGAGTATGATCTTTTTGGCTTTCTCTGTATCCTAAGGAAACCATTGCTTTTATAAATTTTCCAAACCATGCTTTAGGGGATTGCTTAAGATCAGATAATGCTTTCTTTAGGAGGCATACCTTGTTTCTTTCATCCTGCACTTCAAAACATGGGGAAATCTCCATGTACACTTCCTCATCTAGATCTCCATAAAGAAAGACATTCTTCACATCCAATTGGTGTAAGTTCCAACCAAAATGAGCAGCCAAAGTGAGAACAACTCAAACTGTATTCATCTTTGCCACTGGGGCAAATGTCTCCTCATAGTCAATCCCATAAGTTTGGGTGTAGCCCTTTGCCACCAATCTAGCTTTATATTTTTCTATTGTCCCATCTTATGTTTCACTGTGAATATCCATCTACACCCTATAGCCTTCTTGTTCCTTGGCTTATCAACAATCTCTCAGGTTAAGTTTCTTTCTAATGCATTCATCTCTTCTTTCATGGCTTGAGTCCAATGTTCAATTTTCATGGCCTCTTGGTTTAAGATAGGAGTTTCTGTGGCATCAATGGTAACAATAAAGCTTCAGTGCTTATTAGAGAGATTGTTAGTGCAAATATATCGAGAAATAGTATATTTAGCACATGACCTTCTTTCCTTTCTCGATGCAATGGGTAAATCCTTAGTAATACTTACCTCCTCACTATTGTCTTCAGGGATCCTCACCTCCAGATTAGACAATTCTCCTTGCTCTAGAGTTGAAGTGGGTTGTTTTCTTTTTTAATATTTTTTTTGCCAAAAAATTTGTCTTCTTCCTCTTCTTCCTCACTGTGGGCCATGGTAGCTTCATTGCTCAGATCTTGGGTATCCTGCAAAGACAAATATGGTAATAACAAGAAGGAAAACTCCTCCACTTAAAGTGCTTTCTCCCCCTGAAGTGGCGGACTGACGTAAAAGGATTGTGTTTCATGAAAGGTGACATCCATGGTGATAAAGACGCGACAGACTCTGAGGATGATAACATTTGTACCCTTTTTTATTAGAAGGATACCCAATAAAGACACGTTTAAGAGCTTTAGGATCTAATTTACTACGATTAGGATGATGAGAGTGCACAAAAACAATGCATCCAAATACTCGATTAGGTAGACTTGATACTAGGGGGAAGAGGGAACAAAAGACAATAGAGACTCTATAGGACTAATGCCATTTAAGATACAAGTGGATAACCTATTAATGAGATACATGACAGTTAATACAACTTCTAGTAAGTTTTGGGAACAAACATTTGAAAAAGAACTCTAGCTACTTTAAGAAGATGATGATTCTTTTTTTTTTTCTGTAACCCCGTTTTGTTGGGGGTTGTTTACACATGTTAGTTTATGAACAATACCATTATGAGACAAAAAAATTGAGAAATTCATGATTTATATATTCAATACCATTATTAGACTTGATTCTTTTGATATTTTTTCCAAATTAATTTTGGACAAAACGGAAAAAATTAACAAAAATTTGAAAAATTTCTGATTCATTTTTCATAAGGTATATCCATGTGACACAGATATAATTGTCAATAAAAGTAACGGACCATTTGGCTTAAAAAATAGATTCTACGACAAGTCCCCAAATATTAGAGTGAATTAAATCAAATGAAGGACTCTTTTTATTACTAATAAGATAAGAAACACGATGATGTTTTGACAATTGACAAATATCACAATTAAAAGACTCTACAGACTCCCTAATAAACAAATGGGGAAACAAGAATTTGATAAGGTTGAATGAAGGATGTCCAAGCCTTTTATGATGTGGCCATATTTGGGAATTTTTCCACATCTCAGATGTAGCTTGTTGACTTATGATCTTTGTTTTGTTTTGGTTATCATATTCAAACAGATACAACCCACTTTGCTCCTTAGTAGTTAAAATCGTTTTCTCCATGGCAAGGTTTTGAAAAACACAATGAGTCAAGATAAATGTTATTAAACACTTTAAATCTTTTGTGAGCTTTTGCATAGAAATAAGACTATTGGCTAGTTGTTGAACATGTAAAACATCTTTTAATACAATAGATGATTCTAAAATTATATTCCTAGAGCTGCATATGGGTACACCCTGACCATTTGCAACTGTAATAAGTTGTTCTCTATTCCTTTTAATATATGATTTGAAGATCATACGAAAAGATATGATCAGTTGCTCCTGAATCAAGAATCCAAATACTTTGAGACACAGGACCAACAATATGTAGAGAACTCTCACCTTTCATGGACACAGTACATGGTCCAGAGGGCTTACTTATTGATTCAATCATTACTTTCAAGATCTGATTGAAAGCTTTCATATCAAAATCTGATGGTGGTGAAGTAATAGATTGATTGGTTTCTTCCTGTTCTAAGGTAGTATGATTTGTCCATCTTTGAGTAGACCCTTTGTTGTTTCCCATGTGTTTGAGAACGTTATTTCTTCCATGGAGTTTGAAGCACCTTTCCTTGATATGTCCCAATCTTCTATTTTATGAACAATAGTCTCTGCGATTACCTTTTTCGGATGACTTTCCTCTAGCATTTGATCCTTTGTGGACCCCTTTTCCAGTTGTCATGGTAGACATCCCTTGGAATGCAATTAGGTGTCTTCGGCAACCCTGTCCATGGCGACGACGACGAGTGGGCTACACCAAAAAAAAGGAGCAAAACTCAAAAACTTAGATCTACTCGAATCTAAGCCAAATGGGATGTCATCGACCCGTGGAACGAACTCAAGAAGCTTCGACGGCCCGTTCTATGACGGCGATGACGAATGGGTCTTGTCGGAGCCAAGCATGTGGGCTACACACACTGGCGTTGTGGTGGCATGTGGCGGAATTTTTCCCGGAACGACTTCCGACGTTGTGTTTGCCAGAGTGGGGCGCACCTTTCTGCCCTATCAAGGACCACAATGGCTACAACGACAGTTGCAATGGTCAGACAACGGCGATGGTGGCTATTGTTGCAGCGGAAATGGATCTCCCAAGATTGGGAGCTTTGATATCATCTTAGAATAGTGGATTTGAGCCTAACCCAATCTTATAAAACTGACTTATAAGGTGAGGGTTGCTTTCCAGTTATAATATTATTTAATTGTCTTATAGGCAGGACTTGAGTTTTTCTCAATACACCCACTCATGCCCGTGGTACGTGTATCAATGGTAGGTGACTTATTTAGAGTGGATCTAGACATAGCTATGATACCAACTTGAAAAAGAGAATGATTTTATTTTTTTCATTCATACTTATTACATTCTCATTACACCTATTTGTAACAATCTAATCTTTCAAAATAAGGAAATAAGGAATTAAAATATGCTGAAAAATAAATAGAAAATTCTACAAATATTTTCTCTAATTAGGAATATATTTTCTCTATTTACAACAATCATTAACAGATTTGTGCCAATTAACAGGAACTCAATCGCATTGCTGGAGTGGACAAGACTTGCAACTTTGTCAAGGTTGGTTTTTGTTAATCAATTGTTACCTTTTATGGGTTGAGAAGCCTTTTATTTCAGCACTTAGTGGTCCAATGTTTGATAAAATTGTTCTACTCGAGTTATGTGTTACATTGAATATGTTATTTAGAAAAACTTGTAATAAAAATTCTCAAGATAGAGCTTTTGGCTAAAATGCTATTTTACATTCAGCATAACCAAACATATGTCAACTTCAGTGCCTCATAAATCATAACAAAATGATATTGATTTGAAGTGATAGTTGACATGATCATATATGATAATGCAGGCTGACTTCATGAAAATGCCATTCCCAGACAACAGTTTTGATGCAATATATGCTATTGAAGCCACCTGTCATGCACCAGATGCGGTATGTGTCAGTATTTCGTTGCTAACTATCTACCCATTCACTCATAATAGCAATATAGCATGAAGTGCATGCGTTAGTTGTGAATCTATAAAGCGGTGTCTATAATTTGTATTGTCTAACACTTATTTTTCCTGCCATGGAATAATGTATAGTATGGATGCTATAAAGAAATTTTCAGAGTGTTAAAGCCTGGTCAATATTTTGCTGCTTATGAATGGTGCATGACCGATTCTTTTGATCCTGAAAACCCAGTACACCAAAAAATCAAGGTATGATATAATTTAGAATGAGGTTTAATCTATCAAGTCTGTTGAAACCTCTTGGGTTGTAATTCAATAGATAAAATTCCTTGTTACAGGCAGAAGTTGAGATTGGTGATGGGCTTCCTGACATTAGATCGAGCACTAAGTGTCTTGCAGCTCTGAAGCAAGCAGGTTTTGAGGTGAACATCAATTTTTTATTAGTTGCCACCTTTCACTGGTTTTGGTTTTTGTATATTCAAGAGATAAAGCTATTTGAGCTTCTTTCCTTTTTCTGTGTAAAAGGTCATATGGGAGAAAGATCTGGCAGAGGACTCTCCTCTTCCTTGGTACTTGCCTTTGGACAAAAATCATTTCTCACTGAGTAGCTTCCGTCTAACTGCTGTTGGACGACTTTTCACCAAAAACATGGTATTGCTATTGACTATCATATCTGTAAATTTATTTCACTTGTGTATCTCTTGGGTATTAATCCTTATAGAGTTCTGTTATGGTTTAACTAGTGACTCACTATCTTGACCGAGTTGATCACTGTTCCAGTTCTAATAGCACTGGTTCTGTAATTTGGTTGCATGTTGAGAATTTTAGGATTCATTTCTTTTATTACTCATTCTATACCGGTTGGGGGCTACAAATTTATATTTGCAGGTCAAGGTTCTGGAGTATGTTGGACTGGCTCCAAAGGGTAGTCTAAGGGTTCAAGATTTCCTAGAGAAGGCGGCAGAGGGACTAGTTGAAGGAGGAAAGTAAGTTTCGCATGTGTCTCATAGTGTTACTTTCTATCCATAGATGTTTTTTTTCAACTGAGTTAAAATGGGGATGCTCATAGCAACATATCAAGTTCATATCAATATAGAAATTTCTGATTCTGAAGTTCTAACCTGAGTCCATCTTATCCTTCAGAGAAACATTGATTAATAAATACTAAGACTAACTAACGCTGACCAATGAATATTTTTCTCGACTAGAGGAATCTAAAACATGACTTGCTTTTGTTACTTTTCCAGGAAAGAAATTTTCACACCAATGTACTTCTTCTTGGTACGGAAGCCTGATTCAGACAGTAACTAAACTGGTTGCACAATAAGGTTGCTGTTGTCATCAGCTATTATGATTCTGGTAGGGTGAAAGTGAATCCTAACTCATAAGTTAGGATTGTTTCTGGCTTTCCCGTAGTTTTTATGTTTGGAGTTGCTTGTTTTGTTTAGGTAACCAAACCTTCACTTTGGTGCTTGTTCGGTGAAGCAGTGCATTTCCTGCATATTTTGTTTATCTTTTATTCTGCATATTAGTAGTTCTTTTACTGTCTAAAATTATATTAGCAGTTCTTTTACTGTCTAAAATTAAAGGTTTAATTGCATTTTTCTTCTTTCTATATTAGATTGTGTAATTTTATTTTTTCAAGTATTTTGATTTTAGGTAATTAAGTCTCTTAAAATGTATATGGATAAAAAATATTAAGCAAGTAATTCAACTTTTTAAAGAATTCAAAATTGAGTTAAAATATTTTTTGGATATTAAATTTATACTTAAATATGTTTTTAATTCTCATAACAGAAGTAGGTTTTTTAATTTTAGTCTCTCAAATATATATATATATATATATATATTATTTTTCATTTTTCTAAAATTTGTAAACATTATTTTTAGTCTTTATAAAAAAATATTTTTCCTCATAAAATGAAGTGGAAAAGGATTCCACAAAGTGTGGAAAACTCGCCCGAATCCCGATATTTTTTTATCAATAAATATATTCAAAATATGATTTAAATGTATTTTTAACCCTATAAAATAGATAATTTTGATTTTAATCTCTGTAAAAAAATAATTTTTATCCTTCTAAAGTTTATAAATATTATTTTTAATTTTTTTGTAAAATGAGTTAATTTTAAATTTAATCTCTGTAAAATATTTTTTATATATGTTATTTTCATCCCTCTAAAATTTAAAATCACAATTTTTGATATCTAACAATGATTTTAAAGTATATAAATGACATTTTTTTTTGGTGAAGTACAATAGGAAACAAAAACACTAGAAATCCTAGGGGAAAGATACTTGCCTACTTGAGCTATATCCGCACTTAGCTCATTAACTACAAAATTTGGAGGAAAATCAAATATATGATATTGCCTATCTAAAATTAAAGCATCCTTTGCTAGTTTGTCAGCTACTTGGTTGGCTTACCTGAAAATATGCTTCCAAGTGATCTTCCCACTTGAGTCATAGACTTAATGTATTTCTTGAACAAGCCTGAAACACAAATGAAATCTATTACATTAAGTCGTTAGGAGTTTAATGACATTCATGGAATCTAAATCAACTCTAATATTGACCATGCAAGCTTCAAACCGAAAAGGATACCCCCATAACTCAGCTTCAAGAACAGAGCATCCTTCCGATTTGCTTCCAAATCACTCTTGCACACACCGCTTTACTACCTTCGTGAATAACAACTCCATCACTATTTACAGCCACAACATCTTGATTAGGAGGCTTCCGACATATCCCTTGTACAGAGTCACGGTGGAAGGAAAAAATTGAGTCTTCTGAAACAGATTTTGGCTGGACTTGTAAGCCATTGCTTGGTTAATTGCCTTATGAATCACTTCCATAACAGACCAAGTTTCATGTAGAAAAATAACTCTGTTACGTCGCCACCAAATAAGATTCAGCATTACCCCAAACAAGGAGCTCCATTGAACCCCATGCACTTCATGATGTTTAGATAGATTCCAAGTTAACCAAGGATCCCACTCCATACTATCATAAAATGTAACTCCATTATCTTTTCTGATAAAGAACTGCCAAATAAGACAGGTTTCATAACAGTCGCTAAACAAATGTAATAGGGTCTCAAAATGAACCTGGCACCCAACACACCTATCTGTCTCACTTAATCCAAATCTGGCTCTTCTCGTGTTTGTTAACAAGGAACCATGATCCATCTTGCAAAGGAATCCTTTAATTCTTTTTGACCCAACCCACCTATGAATCAACTTAAGCAGTTGCTTCTGGGGGGATATTATCAGTATTATTGACCCTCTATTTTCAAGTATTAACAGAAAAACAACCATCCCCAGTTCCACACTACACCACAACGTCCGACCTCGGGATGCTAGTCGGGGGGATCAGGCTAACAATATTATTAACAACATCGACTGGCAGGTAATCTATTTTGTGACCATCTTCTATTATGGTCTATATAACTTGCAACCATAGATTCTAACTCTGAGATTGGCAAAACTGGTATAGCAAGACTCACTAAAGGCCCGTATTCGGGAACCCAATTATCCATCCAGAAATTGACGCAAGATCCATCCCCTATTCTCCACATTGTGTTTTGGCAAAACATCTCCCATGTAGAACATATACCACGCCACAGGTTACTCCCCCGTCTCCTTATATTAATCTTAGGCATCAACCCCTCACCTCAACCGTATTTACTTCTGATGATATACGATCAAGTTGGTTGTTCTTGATTACAGAGTCTCCAAGTAGCCTGTAACATAAAAGCTTTGTTAACTTCTCTAGCTTTTCTCAGACCAAGGCCACCTTTGTCTTTAGGATAACAAATCTTTTCCCAGGATACCAAATGCATTCTTCTACCTTCAACATTTTCTCCTCAAATGAAGTTTCGACAAGCTTTATCAATTTCTTCACAAATTGATATGGTAAGGATGTTGTTTGCATGACATAAACATGTAAAGCTTGCAGAACAATTTAGCAAGCGTAACTCTTCCAGAAAAAGATGAAGTTTTTGACTTCTAGTTGCTAAGGCAATGGTTGACTTTTAGTCTTTTACTATAATAAACCGGAAAGTTCTTATATTGTCCCTTTGATGAAAAAATGGCACCCGTAGATATTTTCCTACATCTTCTGCCAAGGAATTCCCAGCCCCTTACTAAGCTGTTGGCATAAACCCCTTCCAACGTTTTTAGAGAAAAACACGTGATTTTTCTGTACTTACCTTTTGACCAGAGCTTCTGCAAAACAATTTCAGAATATTTTGTATCACTACCACCTGTTCCATCGAAGCTTCTGCAAAGAGGATGAGGTCATCTGCAAAAGCCAAATGAGAAATTTGGGGACCAATCATGCTAAGTCGAATTGGTTTCCACAATCCATTATTTGTCGCAAGAGAACTCATGTGCAAGAGCCTTTCCAAACAAAGCACAAAAATGTAAGGGGATATGGGATCTCCTTGTTGAACTCCTCTTGAAGGTTTGAAATTTTCCAATGCCTCTCCATTCCATAGAACCTTCAGAGAGGTTGTAGTTAAACAATTGCAGATCAAATTAACAAGATTTGTTGGCAGTCCAATGTCTTCTAAGGTTTCTTTAATAAACATCCAGATAAGCCTGTCATATGCTTTTTTCAAATCAATTTTAATCGCCAACCAACCTTTGGCACCCTTTTTGCTTCTCATAGAGTGAAATATTTCTTGAGCTATAATTATGTTATCCCTGCTTTGACGGGCAGGAACAAAACTAGATTGCATCGATCCAACCAATTTACTTTCAATTTACTCTTTAAAATGAGTTCAACTTAACTCAATTTATATATTTAATAGTGTGTTAAACTTAAAACAAGTTAATATGATATTACTCATATAACTATCTGTTCTTCAATCCCAATTGCGAAACGAAAAATAATAAATTGAATATATTCAATTTATTATCTTCCTTTACTACAAAATATTATAAAGAGAGGAGTATAGTAAATAGTATCTAAATTTTCTGTCTCAACGAATTGCACGTAGAGATATCGATATCACATATAGAGATAATAGTATTTCATAACTAATCGATTGGTAGACCACCTAAAAAGGAATATTTATTATTTTAATATGATATTACTAATAGTTGTGAGTAGCACTTAACATGATCACTTAAATTTTTATTGAACAAACAAATAGTTAAAAAATATTATATAATAATAAGGACTAAAAATAATAATTATAAATTTTAAAGAGAGAAACTTATTTATTTTTTTTTTACGGGGATTACAATCAAAATTTGTTTATTTTATAGAGATTAAAAATATGGTTAAGTTTTAAATTTAAAAAGAATTTGAAATTTTGGTACTGTTTTGAGGTATTTGATATATACCAAAATAAAGAATCTTTGAATTTCACTTAAATAGTAGGAATTTGGAAACTTGTCACTTAAATAGTCGAAAGTGCTTTTTACTCAGAATTCGGAAATACAAATTTTCTTAGAATAATACTGAAACAATCATACATATTCCTCCCACCAGAAAAAGAAGACGAAGTTTACATTCCTTAGAGTTTATGTACAGTTTTTGCGCGCACAACTAAGAATAAAAAATAAAACAATATCAAAATTATTATCTATAAATAAATTTGGCAAATGTTTATTTTTGATAAAGTTTAAGGTTGAAATTTTAATTTTTCAATAAATATTTAAAAACGAAATATTACTTATTGGAGAGATTGAATTGTTTTATTTAAACAAAGAATTTAAAATATAAAAAAATTACTTTATCTAAATATAAAAAATTACTTTACCTAATAAAGTAGTTTTTTTTTTTGAAAAGTTCCTCTAATTATTTTTGGTACAAAGGGAATTAAAAGATAGAAGAAAGAAACAAAACTTTAGAAATGATGCCTTATATGTGACTAGAACACTATTAGGAGAAATGAACCATGTTTGATCCTTATTTAAGGAATGCGAGCTTCAACTAGCTAGAGTATGTGTCATGGCATTCGCCTCCCATGGAGAATGAATAAGTGAACAGTCTCAATCTCTCATCAAGATATCCTTGGTTTCAAACAACAAATCTCTCTAAGCATGTGGAGTCACCTCTCCAGTAAGTCAGTATTTCAAAATATTAACTAAAGTCAAATTGTTCGATTCATAAACTACCTTAAGAAAGTTATGATCCCATGCAGTAAGAAGCCTACACTTTATAGCTAAGCACTCAACAAGCACATGATCCCTTTTATCTCATATTCTTGGAGAAACCAACAATCCACCTCCCATCAACATCACATAATAGCCCATCAATTCCCATGTTATCACAACGAGGAAGATAACTCTCATCCACATTAATCTTGATAAATGAGAGTTGTGGCACACACTAAGGAGTTGAGAAAGAAGACCCCGAGACCTTACTAAAGAAGCTGAAATCCAAGGATAACTCGCGAATCCTCCCACAAACATAAAAAATGTCTCATCTCTTATCCCTAACATGGTTATTTCACTAAAGCCATGCCCACCAGGAGATTAAGGCCACCAGTTGCACATTCATATGAGACAAAATCTTATTAACCAAAAAAAAAAAAGAAAGATACTTCTAGTAGTCAAAAGAGATTGAGAAGATATCTCAATTCAAGTCCATAATTCACGAGAATG